TCCATGTGAACTATTTGGAAAAGTCGCACTGGAGTTCTTCCCCCTTGCCAAATAATTTGATTTCTAGAACTAAATATCTGGGAATAAAGCCCATTACTGTTTCATTTCAATTTTGGGTTACAATAAACTTCAAATATTTTCCTCTTTGTGACATATTGTACGTATTATATTGTACTTTAAAAAAATATTAAAATTATCTTCGTTGGGTACATTTGCCTTATAAAACCTCAACTACATTTCCTCCCTAATACCGTTCTTGCTAACATTTTGGAAAAAACCCTTTAAACCTGTGAATATGAAATTAAACTCCTCGATAAGCCAGGTTTACAGAGGTGTCAATTAACTTTACCATTGATAGATCTCAGTGGATGCTTCGCTTCTGTAAAACTCAGTCGCTTCCAGTCAGTGAAATGGCACGACTGAACTTCAGGCACTGAAATAAAACTTAGGCTTCTCTCATTGAAATCAGGTTTATATTCAGTGGCTTTAGAGTCAATAATGAAGAAGTTTTGCCTTGGTACCAACAGAAAAATCTCTAAGAAAAAAAAGCTATTTAAAAAAAGGCTATATGACCATTATAGACTTTTTTAAGGTATTCCTGGAGTAAATTTCTCACACAAGCCTACTGATACTAAAGCCAAATTAATCTGTGTTATATCTCAGTTGTCTTCTGCAAAAATACCTTCTACATGAATACAGCTGCTTGTGTCGTCTCCATTTTAGTTATGTGAATAAATGTTGGAAGTAAGGCACCCCAGCAAGTGCTGAACTAGAAAAAATAGTGGTTTACATGCTGAAACCTCGCTGATAATCAATTGTTAAACCCTTTTTTTTCATGATAACCTCTCCAAAAGAAGTATTTAATGCAATACCTGTGCACCACACAGTCCAGGCTGTTATGCCAAAAAAAGAGATTGCAGAAGTGAAAGAAAAGTATCAGAACAAGGATATTAAAACCCCCTCACTTCTGCTGGTTCTTGGTTGGACTGGGACTGCTTGACTCCATGATCGTAATGTTTTTTCAAGACTTTCTTGACTCTACTTACAAAGCAAGCCTATCTTTCCCATTTTAATCTTGTTTTCTATTAACCATAGCAATGTATACAGTCAGATTAGTTGATTGATCTCTCACCAGATGACTCATACTCAGCACTTAAAGCTGGACAAAAATGGACTGAATTTCCATTATTTCACTTTTTTTCTTCGAGACTGATCTCATCTTATTATTGAAACCATATTCCTAACAACCACAGTAGGATTTGTACCTTACTTTTTAGGAGCTGGTTTTGCCTGTGAACATTTTCTTCCGAGGGGGTTCCTGATGAAGCTTTTGTATTGCACGTACTGCTGGAGACAGATATTTTTGGTTTCAGGATGCCCTGTTCTTGGGTCTCTTTGGGTTTGGAGGTGGCTTTGGAGCGGTCTCTCTTTTTTGGGGAGCCATCAGCAGCGATTGCTTTTCTGGATGCTGTGTCTGGGACAGAGCCAGAAACCGTTGTGCTGCTGCTGCCCTTCTCGCTTCCCGGCAGCATTTCTGTTCCTGTGAAAAACAGAAAAAAACCAACCCCAAATTCTATGACGTGAGAACATTTTGCTTCTCAGCCCTCCAGTCCTCATCGCTTTTATTTCCTGCAAGACCACTTTCAGTTGTGTATTTTAAAAGTCGTAACTGACACAAATTATATCGTGATTGCCGTGCAGCTGTATTGCAACAAAATGCTACCAAAGAAATACTCACAGAGGGTCCTCTTAATAAAAATATACTGCTATATTCTAAATAACATCTACACACTGATGGGTATCGTGGAAGGAGTTGAGACACCTCTGACAACACGGTATGCCATGTGTTTTGCCTCTTACTCAAGAGGAATATTTTAGATTGGTTAAACCTGATCCAAATTTTAATTACGGATCCAGTGGTGGCTGTGATGAGAACTGAGGTCAAAGTGGTTTTTGGGTCAGGATTTTAACCTCTCTGTAGTGGAGTGGCTGCCTCAGAAGCGTCTCACGTCTCCAACATTTCTAGTGCCCTGTTCTACCTCTGTGCCAAGCCGAACCAGCAGCACAAAAGATCCAATTTCTGCAAGATATTTCTCACCTTTAAACTGTTTTGATAAGAAGGCTATTGCACAGCAGCTACAACTGCTGGACTCTGCCATGTCCAAAGCGACAGAGCTGGTTGGGTAGCTCCGTGCTGCACAAACCTTGAAAAGCAATTGAAGCTGACCAGCAAAACCCTAAAAAATTGAGAGTGTGGGCAAATAAGCCTACAGAGACGTCCATTTTCCAAGGTGCATTTTAGGCAGAGTTTTGAAGGGAGAAGAAATAGAATAGAAAATAAAAAAATAATCAGGAAATTAAATTGAAATAGTTAGGGACAGCATGGAAAGGGCATCAGGGTGAGCAAGGGGGGAGAAAGAAGGAGCAGATGGGAATAAATTTACATCCTGATAAACCACTGAGTAGTGGCAAGCACCCACGTGCCCATGCACACATCATGACTGCTCTTCTTTATTAATAAAGTGCATAAACTGCTGGCTGTCAGCCCCAGTCCCAGGCTGACTGAAAGATTTATGTGGGTGGAGATGACCAATGGCTGACCAAAACTGCAAGAAGGCAACCAAGAGACATGGGAGGTACAAGGGAAAAAACCCCAACTGGTTTCAGGCCTAACCATAAAACCAAACAAACCAGGCAGGGATTGACTCATTCTCTGTTGTGGACGTAAGACATTTAATAATTTAAACATTCAAACATTTAAAAAGCAACTGGTGTTTCATGACAAACACTTCTTAAAAAGTGGCCACATAACCCTTTTCTCTGCTGACTCATTCTCGGCAGCTGCCCCTCTCCAAACACCTCTTTCCAGTGTCTTGGTTGAGGGCAAAGGAAAAATTAGAAGTGTTTTTCCTCTTTGATCCCATCCACAAGAAAGGGTGCCATGCCACATCATGTTAGACACTTCCTTACCTCACAGTCATTAAGTAAAATTCGATCCTAGAGTGAGGTGGGGGAAGTTTTAAATTCTCTTTCCTAGTCCTTAATCGATTCATGATAGATGAGGAATATTCATTACAACAAAATTATAATCTCCCACATACTTTAGTGATCTGAATGGCTCATGTTTCTTTTTGATCAGCCTGTGTTTCTGAGGAAATCAGAGGCATTAAGGTACAGCATCTGGTGGTTTTGTCCTTACCACGCAGATCAGAAAGCTTTTCACATCTTAAGTTCCTTTCTGTAACTGCCCATACAGAGATAAGGAGTCGACTTCTCCAGGGATCCTCTGGTGAGGGATCCCTGGAGATCAGCATAGACAGGAAAATTAACTTGTTTTCTAATTAACTTCACTGAGATAAACCCCGTCCTAAGCAATTTCACAGCCATAGAGAAAATCTGGTCAATGCAAGGAAGTGCACACAGAGCTCCCAAATTCTAGGCTGGCATCCAAGCTCTCCCTCTTCTCTCTGCTATAACTCATTTTTCTCCTTGCTTTTCACACATTGCCACTATTTGCCTTATCTTTTGTCAAAACTTATCTCTCTTCTCTAATGAAAATAGTTTTGATGCAAATACTCTCAACAAACCCGATAGACTCAGTTCTGTACATACACTCAGTTGGAGCTCTGGCATATACAGCGATCTGTTCCTTCATTCCCCAGCCGATCCCATACCTGCAGCTACACACTATGTTTCTACAAATGTTTTGACATATAGATGGAAAAGACATCGGGGCAGATTAATGGGGTCATGGGGATCAAAGAGTGTTTGTGGGAGAAGGTAGAAGCAAGCAACACGGTAGGGGAAGATGAAGAAAGCAGCAGGTAGCATTAAGTAACAGCAGAAAAGGAAGTCTTTTCACAAAGGCAGCCAAGATCCTATAAGGATAGAGGGAAAGAAAAAAAGAGGGAGCTAAGCCACAGAAAGAACTTGAGTGGAAAACAGATTATCTCTTTAAATTGTCTTTTAAATTAAGGTAGTTTACCGGCCAGCAGAAAGCAGAGGGGAGAAGAAAAGAAAGCAGAAAAGAGAAAAGAGTTTCTGCTCATCCAAAAGGCAGCATCACTGTAGGATATAATTTACCTTCACACCAAGAAAGTGTCTGTGCAGCAAACGTGTGTGTTGTGAAGCCAAAAAGCTGCTTCACTGAGATGGTCTGGAGGCTCAAACCAGCCTTGTGTCCCCAGAAGGGGCTATTTGCTACGGCTGGGCATTGGTATCCGAAGCTGCAGGATGAATTGTCAGAGTGGCAAAAATGGGCTGCAAGGCAGCAAAATAAAACAGCGGAGACCAGAGGAGTTGTCTGTAAGTCACATTGCTCCTCTCTAACATCTCAGAATATGGATCTGAGCAAAAGAGAGAAGAGTTGCCTGGAGTATTCACACTCCACTTACTCCTAACTACCAAACTAGCTATTTGCAGATATTGGCTTCCAAGTGTAAGTGCAGTAACCTTCAAGAACTGAGAATTAAGCCCCGGGAATTTTCTTACATATGGTACAAATGGAGACAGCTTTCCCTTTTGCACTGCACCCCTTCCCTGCCAAAAATAATACCAACAGTGGCATCCTGGCCATGAGGTCTGGGGATTCCCACAATGATATGGGTAGGAGAGAAGGGAAAGAAAGGCATGAATAAAACTAGGCATGGGGCTCTAA